CTGAGCCTTTTCTAACCCAAGTTTAATATTTTGTACTAAACTTGTAAATTCTTGATTACATAGAGTTGATTGTGCTTTAGTAAGTTCTTCTTCAAAATAATATAGGGATTAATAATTGCTCTTTGTAATTCTCCAAGCCAAAAAAAAACTTGATCAGGTAGTTCATGTGCGCGGTACCTAGAAGGAAAACATTTGAATGCATTATTTTCTAATACTCGAGGTACATTATCAAAACCAGTTAAAAATTCAAAGAATTTTAAATAGAAAAAATTTTCAAACTTTACTATATATTTTACTTGAAGATTAAGGTTTGTGTTATTCATCCATTCAACAAAGACTTTCCATTGTTTAACATATCCTTTAGGTATATTTTTGAATTGATCAAGCTGTTCTGTGAACCACGTTTCAAAGAGACGATGTGCGCTAAAATTTTCTAGATATTGACCTGCCATTATTAATTGGTATTGCTATCAACTTGAGATTGGTTTTTGGTATTTTCGTAAGTGATATTTTAGAAGTGTCTAATATAATTTTTGTATTGTATTTGATTTCATATTTATTAGACATTCTTTATCACTTTCACCATAACTGTCATGTAGATAATAAATGAGTTGAAGAAGATTATGGGGGTGCTTTCGCAAAGATAGTCCTGACACAGTGTTTAACTTACCAAAGGTGGTATTTTCAAACACAATTAAAGCTAATTGCAATGTTGTAGGCCACATGAAATTCTAAACGAATATGCATTTGTTTGCAAATTAAATTCAAAAATAGCACCTAATTTACTTTTTGACATATATGCCGTGTTGTCTGTGAGCCAAAATCCACACTGCCTTGGGTCCAAATTGTTTTCTTCACATGTGTCTTTTACAACTTTGGCTATAATAACGCTAGTGCATTTATCTAAATCAACCATTTTTGCAAGAATAATAGTTGGATAATTTTTAGATTCACTCCAAAAAAAAACAAACTAAAAACACTTTTTTATCTCCTCTAGTACTTTTGTTAGCTATTACGCCATATAAAAAAGAAGAAGAAGAAGACTCTTCTGGTCGATTTTAATAAAGCGATATCCTAGAAACTTCTTTTTCCACCGCGAAAAAGTTTTTGTTGAAAGTAAATGATCGGGCGTTTTATCAGTAAAGAAAGCTATTATTGATTTAATACATTTGGCCACTGCTGAAAGAGAAATAGTTCCAATGTTACTTATATCTGTGGCAAGTTTAACAAATTTAGCTGTGTATACATGATTATTTTCCTTTATCATTTTTTTTGCTGCAATTTGAAATTGACTTTTTGTTATTTTTTTTAATTTTTGAGCAACAGACTGAATTCTGGAAATATATTTCTGCTTTGCTTCTTCTGCTCGTACCATCTTCATACAGAATGATTTAAGCTCACTATTTGATATACTTAGTAATTTAGCTAGCTTTTTATTTTCAAATTCTAATTTTTTATTTTATTTTGTAATGTATATACAGATGAAGAGTGTTTAAAAAGACCACTGGCTACGAATTCGTTTGCTTTATCTTGTAAGTATGGTAACAATATCTCACCTTTATCTTTACCTTTAGAATATGTCATCATATTAATTAAATGCTCAATTTTTAGAATTTGATTCTTTGGTAAACTTTTTACTTTATCAATTAATGTATTGAGCTTTTTATCAGTACTACTTTGTCATTTGGGGTTGATCGAATCAATATAATTTCGTACTTTTATTAATTCATATTGGTCCAAGGAATTAAGAATTTTATAAATATTAACGTTTAAGAGATTTATTAAATTAATATAGTTTTGAAGTTTTATTAATTCTTCTTTATCCAAAGAATTAATGATCTCATAGACATTGATATCACAACATCATTTTTTAGCTTCACGGTCTTTAATAACTTTTAGTAGACGTTTTTTTTTTATTTGTTGGGCGAGTCATTTTTAACAAAATTGAACCATATTTGATTACAAAATTTTTGTTTAAATAAATATCAATTTATTTCAAATATAATCATAATGCGCTTATAAAAAAATTTACATCAAATTTTTATCAATTTTAATTAATTATGTTTGTAATAAAAAATTCTAATAAATTTACAAGAGTATACAATTTTATTTCAAAATTATTTTATTTCTAATCTATAATTCAACATAGTAAAAACTATTGAATCCCACTTATTTTTGAAACACGCCACTTATTTATTTAACATAGTAAAAATGTTATTGAAAATTTCATATTTATTTTCAAAACGTGTTATTTACAGTATTTGTTAACTATATATATATATATTAATGCGATTATATTAAAAATCCAAGTATTTTAACTTTAAATAAGACTTGGTGCATATCTACATCTCAATGCGCAAGATTGATCACATAATTATATACATATTCACATCTTTAAAACATTATAACTCCCGCTCTAGTAAAGCAAATTTAATTCTGTAAGTTGCAAATGGTGTATAAATAGTGTGGTTTTGAACCTATGTTGCAATATTTAGTGTCACAGATGATGGTGAAATCGGATGATCGTGAAATCAAACCCTATTTAATATACGATTTTTAAAATTTTTAGTGTATATTTTTTTATACTTTTTTCGATTAGGATTTAGGGTTAGAGTTTATAATAAAAGAGTATAGGTGGGTTTTAGTAGGGTTTATATTTTTAAATTAAGGCCCCCAGATTTCACGATCATCCAATTTCACCATCATCTGCGACATTTAGTATAAACATATAAGTTGAATGTGTTTAACTCAAAAATAATGCCGATTTACTATTAAAATTCAATAAATTTAGAATTTTCGTCAAATTAATAAAATGAATTGAAAAATATCTCAACATAGGTTTAAAACTATACTATTTTTATAATATTTGCAAATTACAGAATCAAATTTGCTTCACTAGAAAAAGAGTTATAACATTTTAAAAATACATAGTTTTTATTATAAAAGTACTATAATAAAATTTTTTAATAAATTGATCAACAAAATCTCAAAAATCTTACATAGTGCATCAATTATATTGTGCTGCACTATGATAGTAAATCATTTAGTATGTGACACCCCAGTAATTAATAGACTCATATTCATATTTAAGGCCACGCATAGTTAATTTTTGCTTTGGAATCAGAAAATTAGGTCAGCAATCGAATTTTTTTTATCAGACAATTCCAGAAAAATAAGGTATTCATCAGGTGATACTGGATTGATTTATGGGGGAAATTAAATGGCATAAATAGAAACAATTGGCACAATTGGAACCTAAAAAAAAAAAAAAAAATTGAAAAAAAATTGAAAAAATAGGTCGGTGGGTAAAGCAAAACGAAAATTAACTAGTGGTTTGTTATGACAATAAGCAATTTCATACAAAGAAAATAAAAGCTTTAAAGAAATTCAATTTAGGGTGCTCTCAAGCACCTTAATCAATAGATTGGTGTATAAATTTTAATTAATAAAAAATTAACCCAGCTGGTCAAGAGAGTTTATCACTGCAGTTAAAAAAAAAGATGGTTAGTAACCATCTTTTTTCTTTATAGAGCTGCGCAAAATTTATCATAGGGTGAGATTATTCAAGCACTTTATGATCAAATCATTATTTTTTTACGATCAACCCATAATTTTTTTTTACGATCAAACCATTATTTTTTTTTATGATCAAATCTTTTTTTTTTCTTTTTTACAATTGAATCATTATACTTTGCACTTATATTTTGCACTAAATACACTTCAAACAATATGAATCTTCGCCATCAACAACAAATTACTTTTTTATTCTTCGTGCTAGAAACTTTCATGACAAATAAAAAAATATCAAGAAACCAAAAAAAATAACTAACAATTGTTATCTTCAGATGATGTTCATCGATTATTTGATTTATTTCCTGTAATTGTATTAGCGTTAGATGAACTTGATATTTTATCTACAACTTGTAAATTTTCTTGACTACTATTAGTAGTAGAAGTTTGATTATTGTCACTAACGATAATCTTGTACAAAGTGATGGAGCATTCACGTATTATCGTTATTATAGATCACATATATGGGTTGTTTTGTGTTAGCTATTTTTGGTTAACCTGATGAACTTTATTAGTATTATGTTTACATATGATTGATTAGTATTGAATTGCATAATATGGGTAATGGTTGTCATGCCAATGAGCATGCGAAGGGTTTATGCATATGAATGGTAGGATAAGGAGTGGACAAATATAAGGTTGATAAGTATAAGGTGGGCGTTTCAGGAGCAAGTAGGTCAATATTCATTCGTATCACTGCCTTGCAAGAGACGAACTCAATCATCTCCTGCACCCTCAGTGCAGAATGGTATGAGATTTAATTTTCAATGCAGATAGGAAGGTTTCATAGCTGCAGCGACAGTGTAGGGACTTTGATTGTGATGTTCAGGTTCCATGGCTGCAATAACCTCTGGTAGTCGACAATCAGGCTCTGTGGCTGCAATAGCAAGGACCATAGGAGTTCTAATAATATACCTGCTCCGATTCTCAGTATTATTTGCTATTTTGCGAATACAGCATCAGTGATATCTCCTTTTCTGGTAACGCAATTGGTTTGGGCCATTATTTAATGAGGATGTTTGTACTCGGACCAAGCCATAGTGTTGAGTTTGCTGGGCCATTGAGAAGAACTTAATAGATTAGATTTTAACATGCTTGTAAAGGTTAGAGCCTTTTAATTATAGCTGGTTTATTCCCATATGTTTTTTCTTCGTATAGCAATAAAGTCTCAAATAGAGCAATAATAATATAATAAATCTATCTGTAGTAGTAACCAGTGTTTCGGGCGAAACTAAATTTTGCAGATCAACTTGAACGAAACTAGTTTCGGAGGGTTTCGGGCTTATGGGGCGAAACCAAATTCCTCTGGACGAAACGTTTCGGATTTAGAAAATAGTTTCGCCCGAAACGCTGGTAGTAGCATAATGCTGCACGTTTGATAGTCAATAGAAACTAAAACAAACCTATCGCTGTACTGTAATCCTTATCTTCTATTACGTTTTTGTTAAGGAAAATGTTTATTTGACACCTGTCTAATCTTTCAACTCTTTATTCTACATTTTGTCCAATCAGAATATCTGCTGACCTTTGTATAATGATTAACAAATGATGAGTCGACGGTATAGATAATGATCTGCAGAGGTCACACTTTTTTGCAATAATTGATTTAATGGCGCAGCCACAATGAGCATATAATAAATACATGCGATTCTTAATTTTTCGCATTTAAAAAACCGGGTACTATACTAGGGCGGTAAATCGATTCTAAAAATGAGTCGATGATCGAATGCCCAAGAATCGATGATCGAATCTTAAATATATTATTTCTCACATTGACTAGACTAATGCTTTAATTTGTTTTGTATTGTTAAGTGTCATAAGTTATTTAGATTAAATTTTACAAATATATATTTATATAAAAGTAGCATGTAAAAGGTCATATAAAAGATCCTTTGATAGTAGACCCCATGAATTAGACCCGTGGATGAATCACAGGATCATTAAATAAATGCAGATAGTTTTAAAACCCCAGACTGATTATTATTCTGTAAATGCAAAATACTTTCATACTACAATATAAACACTCGCTGTGTGCTAGACCCGGGTCTACTATAGGTTTTAAAATCGGCGGAATATAACAGACCCGGGTCCTATATGACCTTTTGCGGTAAGTAGTCCAAATAAGCCACATTATGATAAGATTTTAAATTATCCATCACTTCGGAGATTGATATTTAGTAGTACTTTTATGTATATGTTTCTCATTAACTTTCTCATATACATGTTTAATTTAATCAATATGCCGCTTCTCATTAAACCTTCAGTTATCCTTATTGACTTTATTTTAGTTATTTAATTGATTTGACTTTGATCTTAATAAATTTTTATATCTTCTAGAATAGGCACTTCCTTATCGATTTTCTAATTAATTAACTAATTTGATTGAAATTTTTATTCCAATTACAACTCTTAATTACAATCATTTGCAACTTTTGAAGAATCAGCTGCAGTTCTTATTGCGCTTTGCAAAAAGGTGTGACTCGTGATTTTTGTGATTATTATTGATGGAAATTTCGGAGATTCAAGATAATATATTGAATAGTTATATTTTCTAATGTATCTTTATATTCGTTGAAATCTATAAAATTCTTAAAATCGTAAAATCGTCTAATTTCCCGTGTTTTATATGACATTATGATCTGCAGAAGTCGCATCTTTTTGCAACCCACAATAATCACAGTAACTGTTAGCCAGAATCAGTTGCAATTTTTGACTAGAAACAGTTATAACTTTTTTAATAAAATTAATTATAAAAAATTGTTAATTGGTTATCATACTGTCGTGATATTTTGCAACACCCCATGTACTTGTAGCGCCGGGGATGGGCAGCAGTACCCATGTGACTATCGATCGGGTACATGTTGATCGAATATTGTGATCGGAACGATTTGCATGAATGGCGTGATCACGAATTAATTAAAAGCCTAAAGTAGTGATTGCATGAACAATGTAGTAATAATTAGCGGTTAGTAATAATGGTGATTGCATGAACTATGTAGTAATCATTAGCGATAGTAATAATATATAAGGCATCGACCCAAATAGGGGAAGTGCCTAGCTTAGGAGTTTTGTTAGTTTTAAACTTTGAGTTCCGGGAATAATTTTTAGTGAATAAACTGTCGTATCTGTGTGTATACATAATCGGTGGAGTACCTGTACGATACTCCAGTCTTCGTATATTAGCCAAGCGAGTGGGTGAAGTTTGATAGTAAAGACCCACGAATACACGGTAGTTTAGGTAACTCCGTGACAATATCATTATAAAATATCATACAGGAATGTAATTTTTTAATTTTGGCCTAAATTCAGGCAATTAGGCCGTTCAAAGCTGATTATTAGGTTAACGTCAATATTTTGGCTCAGGCGCAAGGGGGAGAGAGAAAATTTAAATAAACATATATTCCCAAAAATATTGGATCAAATCTCATTGGTCAACCTTGATCACATGATTAATGAAGTTTATTCTGTGACGTATTGGCTTATTAATTTCCGAGGGGACAGTTAACCGAGAGGGGGATGACGTCAATTAAACTCTGATCAAATTTCGTTACAATTACCATTGTTACACAATTACATCACTATAAAAAGTGGTACGGGATGGTTTCGGGAATGTACGAAGTGGCACGGCACTAGTGATGTGCCATTTATATGATATCTGAAAATTTTTAGCATACAGTATGTACTGTATGTCAGTAATGGCACATTGTCATTTAAAAATAAATGACACTTGTCAAATGACAAGTCATTTTTGTCATAAAAAAATCATTTATTTTTTTATGACTATCCCTTAAACCGTCTAGCAGGCAAATTTGTCTGCTAAAATTATTTTTAAAAAGTTTTTTTGAGTTTTCTTAAAATTTATTTAAGCTTGACCCCCCTATTTATTGAAT